CAGCATTCGGACACAGTCTGATATCATAAAAATTCTGCATTCGTCTTCATAAGACACACAAGGCACTATCAGTAGGACTCATCAGTCGTTTTCGCAAACTTTACGAACGACACTATGCACTTGCTACAGAAAAATAATTTTTCAAAACTTCGCTCGAATAGGTGACTGATTGGCTGATAAACGCTGTCTCAAAACTCAGGAGTTTACAGAGCATTGCAAGGTACATTGTTCGATGTAGTTTGCATTAACCATATAATGTTATTCAGGCTTATATATATATATATTCTGAATATATTATTGTTCATGTTTTATCATGCATTTGGCTCTTAATTTTCCTCTTGTCACATGATGAAGTAAGCCAATATGTTTTTCATGTTCCTCAACATACCTCAACAGGTTATTATTTGTAAAGGGTCAGTATAAAATTTCACATACTAAGTGAAAAGCTGAAGCTTAAAACAAGCGGTTTAAGATTGTCCGTCCTGAATACCGGCGAAGATTGGCCTCGTAGTAGAGCTATGGATTTCGGAGATGGAGAGGCGGGTTCGAATCCTACAAAACATTCCTCGCATTTTAAGCCATAGATACGTTATAAGAGTGGCAGCCATTCTCTTAGTGTTGTAGATCGATTTCACATCACCTTATTACGATCGTGCTATGCTCGCACTTCAGTTTTCCTTCTTTTACTTATTTCTATCAGGAATTGACGTAAACTTATGTAAACATAACAAACTGCTGTTTATTGCAATAATCAATGACGCGTGGATTTAGGATTAAGTTTCGTTTTTTATTATACTTATATTACTTTCTTCCTTCGCCTTTCTCTCGATTTAATCAACCTCTCTCACATATTCCCGTCTTCCTTTTCTTCGTTGATCTCCTGCCTTTAATATTCCTTTCTCAAACCTACGCCCAACAAGCTCCTTTCTTTTTTCGTCTTTTTTTTTGACCTTGCTCACTTTGCTTTCTGTAGATCGGACTATAATGATTCATAGTCGTACAGGATCCTGTAGTCTTCACAGAGACTAAACATGAGCCTTTTACTATAATGATTCATAGTCGTACAGGATCCTGTAGTCTTCACAGAGACTAAACATGAGCCTTTTACTATAATGATTCATAGTCGTACAGGATCCTGTAGTCTTCACAGAGACTAAACATGAAAGGCGGCTCCTTACTCTAATAATTTTCTAATGACTTACACTGACTAAAAGCTGGCTTCTTTGTCACCTCTCTCAACTCCAACAGATATTCCTTACACCTCACTTTATAACACTTAGCGTGGATGGTGGATGATAAGGTGATACTGACTGGCTGCCTTCAAAATTAGGGACGGCGTCATATAACCTTAGTAGCTTTTCCATTAATACAAATTACCAAAACCTTCAGAAATACCGTGTTTATTATACAATGGAATTGATATCAACGACTGATATGACCTATAATTTTATTGCTCCCCAGTGGACTAGCGGTAAGCTTAGTCTTATAACGTTAAAATCCGTGGTTCGATCCTTACATTAGATAAAGCTCATATTGCCCACTATGAAGCTTTACACTTAGAAACAACACCGTGAATTTTTGCTATTAAAACTATAGATTTTATTACATAAACTACCAGATTTAGAGCAAGCGAGTCGTTTCGAATTCTGAATAGATGTCACTGTAACAAGCAAAAAAGAAGAAAGCAGTCAACAAAGTAATTCAAGTCAATGAATCGAACTAGATGTATTTGTATGCAGACCTTCCAATGGCACATCAAGGTAGAATAGGGTTAATTTTAGGGACAGGATAAAGAATAAATAGGGTACATTTTATTGGAAAATAATGCATTATAGTAAACTATCAGGATAATAGGGTAAATCTATATACTACTAAAACTCTGAGATTGTTTGTTTGTTTGCTTGCTTGTCTGTAATTAAATACAGTGAAAACGGCGCACAATAGCACCATATTTGCAATGAAATGAAAATAGAAACAGAATAAGACAAGTTTCGTTAAAATTGGGCCACGTGTTACAGAGTTAGCGCCGTTTTTCGGGTCACTTTTCGTACATTCCATTATTATAAAACTTCGTTTTCCACCTGATGAATCACTTTAAAATATATTCTATACAACAATATATGCACAACAGAAATTAAATGATGAGATGAAAATGTGTTATAACTGCGCTTAGAAAGAACAACAATAAAATGGACCTACAATATTATTGACTATTTGCAAATAGTAACTATGGATACGAGTTAATAAAATAAAAATCAAGTCGAGAACAACAAAATTTTATAAACGAAAACCTCTCGCCGAGCATTGGCTACTATATTATTTACCTTCAATGTTCCCATCTTCATTAAAAGGCGTAAGCTGACAAAAACAAGGTCTTGAATAATCTATCTATATACTACTAAAACTCTGAGATTGTTTATTTGTTTGTTTGCTTATTTTCTCAGTCAAAAAATCATTCACACTACCGTTCGCGCTCTTTACGAAACTTCTTACTTCAC